ATATATAATTTAATTTATTTATTTATTTATTTATTTATTTATTTATTTATCCCTTAATAGCATTCCATAGAGTTGCTCCCTCACGACTTCCTCTTATCCTGCTGCTGCTGTTTTTGCTGTTGCTGCTCTTGCTGCTGGTGCTGCTCTTGCTGCTGTTGTTACTTATTTTGCTACTCTTGCTGCTGCTGCTGTTGCTCTTGATGCTGCTGCTGTTGCTCTTGATGCTGCTGCTGCTGCTGCTGCTGCTGCTGCTGTTGGTTGTCTGTTTAGTAGTACTGCGCTTAGGTCTTTCTTGTGTTCCCTTTTGTTGTTTTATGCTGCTCCTCTGCGAAGCAGCAGCAGCAGAAGCTGCTGCTGCTGCTGCTGCTGCTTCTGCTGCTGCTGCTGCTCTTGCTGCTCTCCTGCTGCTCCTTACGGACACCCGCAGCAGCAAATCCCCCCACAACGAACTCCCTGAGCGTCGCGTCTCCTTAGAGGGGAGAGACGTAAGGGCATCATACATGCTGCTGCTGCTGCTGCTGCTGCTGCTGCTGTAGCTGCTGCTTCTTATGTTAGGGAGGTCAGTGCTGCTGCTGCTGCTGCAGATGTTCACGAGCTCGCTGCTGCTGCTGCTGCGGATATTCACGAGCTCGCTGCTGCTGCTGCTGCGGATATTCACAAGCTCGCTGCTGCTGCTGCCGCTGTTTAGGAAACTGCCGCTGCTGCGCGTAAGGAGAAGGCTGCTGCTGCTGATGATGCTGCTGCTGCCATTAACCAAGCTGCTGCTGCTGCTGCTGCTGTTAATGTTGCTGCTGTTCCTGCTGCTGCTCCCTCTAATTTGCTGCTGAACTTTTTCCGTGGGGCTTTCTAATTGGGGTGTATGCTCACCTCCGTTGCATGCGCAATGCTGTGCTGCTGCTGCTGCTTCAGCAGCAGCTGCAGCAGCAGCAACACTGGGACTGCTGCTCCTGTTGCTCTGTATATCTCCTGCTGCTTCACCCTCCTCCCCTGCTGCTGCAGCAACAGCAGCATCAGCATCAGCATCAGCAGCAGCAGGATCCACGCATTGGTCCCCTGACACCTCCCTGCTTTCCCCCTCTGTGGGGCTTGCTGCTGCTTGCTGCTGTGCAGCAGCAGCAGATACTGGGCTCTGCATGCAGCAACTGCTGCTGCTGCTGTTGCTGCTGCTGTAGCCTTCATGAGGATAACAATCCTCTGTCTTATATACAGATATAACATGCAGCGATTGACCCTCCACTGCTGCTGCTGCTGCTGCTTCTGTAGCTGCTGTTGCTGCTTCTGTAGCTGCTGCTGCTGCTTCTCCTGCTTCTGCCGCTTCTTTGGCTGCTGCTGTTGCTTCTGCTGCCTCTGTTGCTGCTCCGGCTGCTGCAGCTGCTCCTGCTCCTGCTGTTGCTGCTGACGCTTCTGTGGCTACTGTTGCTTCTGCTGTTTGTGTAGCTGCTGCTTCTGCTTCAGCTGCTGCTGCTTCTGCTGCTTCTGCTGCTGTTGCTGCTGCTGTTGCTGCTGTTGCTGCTGCTGCTGCTGCTGTTTTATGTATTTGTTTCTTCTTATTTTTCTTGCTGCTGTTTACTTCTTTCTTTATTGATTTATTTATTAATGCATGCATATTTTTATTTTCTTTTTTCTTTTCTTTTTCTTTTTCTTTTTCTTTTATTGTTTTTGTTGCTCCTTTCTTCTTTCTTTTTGTTGTTTTATTTAAATTACTTCCTTTTGCTGCTGCTGCTGCAGCAGCAGCAGCAGCAGAAGCATCTGCTGCAGCTGCAGTAGATGTTCCTTCTCCTGCCTCTTCTTTAGTTACTCCATCGTCCTCCTCCTCGTAGCAGCACTCTCCTCCTGCATGCAACCCGCTGCTGCTGCTGCTGCTGCTGCTGCTGCTGCTGCTCTTTTTAATCTTCTTTGCAGCCTTTTGTGGCCCTCCAATCTTCTTTAGTTTGCCACCAAAGCTGCTGCTGCTGCTGCTGCTGCTGCAGCTGCTGCTGCTGCCCATAGAGAGAGGAAAGGTGCTGCTGCTGCTGCATGCAGGCCCATCTTCTAATGCAAGTCTTGGGGCTTCCCTCGAGGGGTACTCACTAACAGCAGCAGATCCTGCTGCTGCTGCTGCTGCAGGCCCCACTGTTCTGCTGCGTGATCGCCATAGCTGCAAATCCGCGCATGCAGCAGCTAAGGGAGCTATGCGAGCAACAACGTAGCTGTGCTGCTGCAGTGCTGCAGCAACAGCAGCAACAGCCGTGCTGCTGCTGTCTTGCCTCTCGCTACTGCTAGCAAGGGAAGACACAACAGCCTCAAAGAGATTCAGCAGCCCATTCTCCAGCCGTGCTGCAGCAGCAGCAGCAGCAGAAGCTCCAGCAGCAGCAGCTTTTCCTGCTGCACTGGAGAGCATCAGCTGCTGCTGCGAAGGAGTCTGCGGCAGCTGCTGCAGCAGCAGCAGCGGTGCTGCTGCTTGAGGTGTATATACACTCCAACTAAGACGTCTCCGCTGCAGCGCAAAGACATCCATTGCTGAATAAAGTTGCTTCTTCTTTGCAGATAAGGCAACCTTTAATTCTGCTGCTTCTGCTGCTGCTGCAGCTGCAGCAGCGGCAGCAGCAGCTGCTGCAGCTTCTTTCTCCTCTGCTGTCATGGTTGTGTCCGCAGCAGCAGCAGATTCTTCTGCTGCAGCAGACCGCTTGCTGCTTCCTTCGGACGCGGCATCTGCGCATGCATCTGCTGCAGCAGCATCACTAGACTGCGCCAGCAGCATCTCCTGCTGCTGCTGCTGCTGCTGTTGGAGGCCATCGCTGCTGCCTGTTGAGTGTATATGTTTGAGTTCATGTGTGAGCTCGCACTCAGGTTGCTCCCCTTCTTCTGCAGCAGCAGCAGCAGCAGCTGCTGCTGCTGCTGCTGCATCGTGTGTATCTTCTTGCTGTAGCTGCAGCAAGTCCTTAAGGAGCTCAAGAGCAGCAGAAGGGCGACGAGGAACAACAAGAAGATCCTCTAATGGCCTTAAGCATGCAGCCCCAAGCAGCAGGGCATCGCTAGACACAGGCAGCAACACTCCTACATGCGGTGCTGCTCCTCCTATATCTCCATCGTACTGCTGCTGTTGCTGCTGTTGCTGCTGCTGCTGCTGCAGCCTCGCTCTCTCAATAGAAGCCAAGAAGAAACCCTCCTCCTCCCCTCCCCCTCCTAAGAAGCTGCTGCTGTATAGACAAGAAGGCTGCTGCGTAGGGGCAACAAACTTATACAGCATACGGCGTACAGCTAATACACGATGATGACCAATAAAGTCTGCTGATGTTTTACGACGACCACGACCACCAAAAAAAGAAGAAGAATCACCATTTTTATCTAATTGTTCAATAAATGTTGTCTGAAGAAATAAACCATTTGCTAATCCTTCTTCTTCCTCTATTTCCCATTGGCAAAAGAGCCCGCAAGCAGATAAAGGGTTAGGTGACCCTCTTATTCGTGCCGTCATCATGACGACAATATGATCAATTAAAGGGAAAGGATAAAAAGAACAGAGAGAAGAAATAAAAAGCAAGAAAATTATGTCTATAATGACGCGTTTTCCTTCCTTTTAGCCGCTTGCATGCATGCGGTAATTCATAATAACTAAGGAAATCAGCAACAGATTGTACCCAATAAAATGCCGTTTCTGCTGCTTTAAATGATAAATCTACCATAAAAAAAGAAATAAATACCAATATCCATGAATAGTTTTAAAATATTACCCCTTAATCATCAAATATCTCCTCTTGCAACTTCCTCCTGATCCTCTATGGTAACAACCATAAGCGGCGGCTGGTCGATCTGGTGGAAACTGCGGTGTATATGCAGCTCAAGAAAGCGCACGAACACAGCGATTGGGTATATTTAAATAAATAAAAAGAAAAAGTAATAATAAAGTAAGCAGAAAGCGAGGATCCTCAAGGATTATTATTTATGTTTGCTGTTCTTTTTTTATTTCCTTATGCTGATGTTTGTTGTTGCAATAACCCGCTGCGGGGTTCAGCAAGATCGCAGCAGGCTGCAGAGGGAAAAAGGGTTTTAACGAATAAAAATTGAATTAAATGAATAAATATTATAAATAAATACTTAATTATGATTTAAAAGCTTATTTAAATCACTAAAAAACCAAGAAAATATCCGCGCAATCGTGACAGGGCCCAACAAAAAACATGAATTCAAGTTTCCTTCCTCCCCTCTTTGAGGTTTCTTTAGCAACTACGGCATTTATTTTGCTCCTTTTTCTTTCATTAATTAATTAAATGTATCCATTTAATTGCAAATATATCCTTGAAAATGCAAGAAAATGACAAATATGTGCAAAAGCCAACCCCCTAGTTGTAGAACAGTGGTGGTCTGGTCTGTGTGGTGGTAAGTAGTGCTAAGAGCCACAGCCCGCCAGTGCATCGAAGCATGAGGGAAAGAGGGAATTAAAACATTATAGTTAACTCATTTAAGGTATTTTTCTGGTTTTGTTTGTTTAAAGTAATTAAAAATAGACCTTAAAATCATATGTTTATTATAATTATTCCTCTTTTCCTCTTTGCGCAGACACGGCGTTTCGTGTTCTCTGTGGCGGGTAGAAGCCACAGTATTTCTTGTATTTGTTTATAGGCAGTAAACATCAATTAAAAGCAAAATATAAATTAATAATTTAATTATAATTCTTTTTATTATTTTTTCCTTCTAAAGAAACCAAAAAATATTTAAAAAGTATTCTTTTTGAGCTTCCTTTCCCCCTCCCTCAGGACGCCGCTAGGGAAACTACTACAGACACAGTTCTTTGTTGTATCTATATATTATATTTTAATTCTTTTTTCTTTTTTTGTTTATTTTATTTCTTAATTAAGATAGAGAATAAAAAGAAAGCAGCACAGACAATCAAATAAACAGCTACTGCATGCATGCATGTCTACTAGGGCTCATTGTCTCGATTGGGTCTCGCGAGGGTTTAGGGTTTACGCTAGGGTTTAGGGTTTACGCTAGGGTTTAGGGTTTCCCGCATTAAAAACCCTCTTCTTAGGTGGTTTTATTCCTTAATAAATATATATTTATTTTTATTTAATCATCTTTTTTTTTTAATTAAATTATTTTTCTCTTTCTTTCCCTCCTCCCTCTGCGTCGGTGGCTATGACTTTCCTTGTGTACGTTATTACGCTCGTACATAACAAGAAAATACAAATATATATTATATTTATTATATTTATATTTATTTATATTTATTTATATTTATATTTATTTACATTTATTATATTTATTATATTTATTATATAATATATATCTATTATACAAATAGTAAATAATTAAACATCTACAAATAACCCCTTCCTTAGGGTTTGCGTCTTTGTCCCTACAGCTAGCTACAGCTAGCTACAGCTAGCTACAGCTAGCTGTGGCTAGCTGTGGCTAGCTACAGCTAGCTACAGGTAGGTATGGCTAGCTAGAGCTAGCCGCAGGGAGTGCATAGCCACATCACTAGACAGCCCGCTGATTAACAACTAATGAGAGACTACAGCACGCTGCAAACCCTAAACCCTAAACCCTTTTTCTGTACTTTGCGGTGTATGGGAGCAAACTTCACACAACAATAACCAGCTAGGGTTTAGGGTTTAGGGTTTTGGCTAGGGTTTGCTGCTTCATGGCTTCCCTGCTATGAGGGGGAAAACCTCCAAGGTGTTTTTGTATATCCTGAACAGTACAAGACACATTAAACACTAAACCCTAAACCCTAAACCCTAGACCTGCGTTGGAGGCAAGAGCTAAGGCCATCGCGATACATAAGAGACAACAAAACACTGCATTAAGGGTTTTAAGGGTTTAGGGTTTAGGGTTTAGGGTTTAGGGTTTACTGATAACAGAAATCATTTGCTGACAGATCAGGAGCAACCAGCTGACGGACGACTTCCCCAACAGCTCTGCGCACAAACCCTAAACCCTAAACCCTAAACCCCTAAACCCTAGCATCGCACAGCAGCTGAATAAAACCTCGAACACCACGCTGCCAAGTGCAGCCGGTAGACCCTAAATTCTAAACCCCAAACCCTAAACCCTAAACCCTAACGCACCTTATGTTGCAGGGTTCGTTGCGTCCCTTAACTTGGCTGTTGCTTGTCCATTTCTCTGCCTTTACTCCATCTAATGCCGACCTCTGAGACACAAACCCTAAACCCTAAGCCCTAAACCCTAAACCCTAAACCCTAGACCGGTCTTATGTGTCAAGCCGGCTTAGCGCTAAACCCTAAACCCTAAACCCTAAACCCTCAGAATGTACCTGTTCTTGATTAAGAAGAGAGAAACCCGCATGCGTTGGCCTCAGTCCACACCAAGGAGCATCTGCAGCACCCAAACCCTAAACCCTAAACCCTAGACTCAGCACGCTGGAACCGATGGCCTTGGCCAATACATAGAAGTTACGCATCTACATTTAGGGTTTAGGGTTTAGGGTTTACCGGTTTCCAAGAGAATACGCGATAGGGGCAACTGACGAATAACATCAAGATTTTCTTTTGTCTTTAGTGAGCATCCATTAATACCTGAAAGAAACCCTAAACCCTAAACCCTAAACCCTAAACCCTAGTAACCAAGAAAGCCTGAATCCTAACTCCTAAACCCTAAGCCCTAAGGGTTATAAATCGCCACCGTATTCCCCTTAAGTGTCAACAGCTACCCGCGTAGAGACAGAGACGTGAAGTAGGAAACATCAGGGTTTAGGGTTTAGGGTTTAGTACCTATATATAAACCCTCATCTAATAACTGACGAGCATCCTCTGCAGACCCCGTAAAGGAATGAACAACTGCTCCTCTTCCTCTCCATAAATTCTGCCGTCGTCGCATTATTTCTGCAAACCCTCAAACCCTAAACCCTAAACCCTAAACCCTAAAACCCTAAACCCTAAACCCTCAACACTCGAAAAACCGAAAAGTGCAATGGTAAGAAACCTTCTACCTAACCGCAGACACAAGCAAGGGTTTAGGGTTTAGGGTTTACCGATGAAGTCTGCTGCCGCGTTGCGCATATGCAGGAATAAAGGCAGCTGCAGTAGATGTCCTAGTACTAATTGAAGCTCAAAACCCCTACACGCAGTAAACCCTAAACCCTAAACCCTAATTCCTAAACTCTAAATCCTTGGTAGGGTCACCGGATAGCTTCTGCCGTGCTGTCGAGGGTTTAGGGTTTAGGGTTTAGGGTTTACGTACCGCTTTTGAGTTTCTGCGTCACAGAAGTTCAGGCGGTCGTAATCTAAGCCAATTTCCCCAACAGCAACAATGCGGTGCTGCTGCTGTTGCTGTTGCTGCTGCTGCTGTTGCTGCTGCTGCTGGTGCAGCTGATACAGCTCAAACAGACGCTGTACGTACACCTCAGGGTAGTCACCAATACGCAACCCCCCTTCCTCTACTTTTTTTACGAATGAATCAAATTCTTCTTTGCTGCTGCTGCTGTTGCTGTTGCTGCTGCTGCTAGCAGCAGCAAGCTCGTTGCAGCGTGTTGGGTGGACACCCACAGTCAGAAAGAGGCGTTTACAGTCAGGGTCTGCACACAAACCCTAAACCCTAGTACCTAAACCCTAAACCCTAAATAGTAGACGCTAGGTCCTAAACGTATTCGCGCTCTCAAGGGTTTAGGGTTTAAGGTTAAACTACTAAGGGTTTATGCGGGTATAGTGCTAGGGTTTGTTGGCTTGGCTGAAGGGTTTAGGGTTTGGCTATTCTAAGGATATAGGGATGGAAAACTTGAATTAGGGTTTAGGGTTTAGGGTTTAGGGTTTATGGCACCATATGTATTAGCGATTTGTATATTTGTATTAAAATCATCAAAAGAACCAGTTGTTAAAATTATCTTCCCGATGTTTGCTGCCTCCGCCCGATCCAAAACCCTACACTCAAACCCTAAACCCTAAACCCTAAACCCTAAACCCTAATTATTTTCGCATGCAGAGCAGACAGCCCAACCAAAAGATACAATAACACAAAAGAAGGATTTCTCTGATAAGGTTTCTTCCTCTAGGGTTTAGGGTTTATCCACTCATATGGGTTATTAGGGTTTAGGGTTTAGGCACTTTTAGGGTTTAGGGTTTAGGGTTTAGGGTTTAGGGTTTACATTTGTAGATCAGGAGGATGTTTTTGTTTATCAAAGTATTTTCCTTCATACATAGGGTCACAAAGATTTGCGCCAATATCTACATAAGTCCAATTCTCCATTGTTGCTGCTGCTGCTGTTGCTGCTGCTGCTGCTGCTGTTGGTGTTGCTGCTGCTGCTGTTGCTGCTGCTGTTGCTGCTGCTGTTGCTGCTGCTGTTGCTGCTGCTGCTGCTGCTGCTGCTGTGCAAGGTGCCTCAAAGGAGCTCGTAGCTCTAAGGGGAAGAGCGTTAAGAGCTGTGCTGCTGCTGCTGCTGTTGCTGCTGTTGCTGCTGTTGCTGCTGTTATTTTTGCTGCTCTTCTTCCTGCTGCTGCCTCCCCCTTTCTTGCTCTTACTACTACTACTACTACTACTACTGCTGTTGTTGTTGTTGTTGCTGCTGTTGCTGCTGCTGCTGCTGCTGCTCCTTGGCTTCCACCCCCCTCTAGGTATATTTAATAATCTCTTAAGGGGATTTCTTGCTGCTCCTTTGCGGCTCTTTCTTCTTCTTGTGTCTTCTGGTAAAGTTATATCGAAGCAGCACTTAACAAATAGAACTTGCTGCTGCTGCTGCAGTTGCTGCTGCAGTTGCTGCTGCTGCTGCTGTAGATGTAAAGGCCTAATGTGCTGCTGCTGATGCTGCTGCTGCTGCTGGAGGTGCAGCAGAATTCTTGGACCGGAGATACACGAAAAACTCCTCGATGATAAAAATGCAAGGGGGGATCGAAAGCCTGCTGCTGCTGCCGCTGCTTCTGCTGCTGCTGCTGCTGTTGAAGATCGTCCTTCCTGCCTCTCGGCAGAAATAAAGCCCCAAGAAGGTCGGGCTGCTACAAGTGTGTTTGCTGCAACACTTGCTGCTGCTGTCTCTGCTGCTGCTGCTGCTGTTGGTAGAAGACAGAGGCGACTTGCTGCAGTCCTGGTAGTGCAGCAGCAGCAGCAACAACAGCAGCAAATAAGGAGAGTCGCTAAGCGCCTCGATAAGATCCTATATTTGCTGCAGCTTAAAGCAGCAAAGACCATCCTTCTGTTGTTGCTGCTGTTGCTGCTGCATTTGTTGCTGCTAATACTGCTGCGGCTGTTGCTACTGCTGCTATCGCCGCCTTTGCTGCTGCCGCTGTTGTTCTCGCTGCTGCTGCTGCTGTTCTTGCTGCAGTGTCTGTTGGGTTCTGCTGCTGCTAGGGTAGCCAAGACGCCCATAAATGCTGCGTCTTTATCCTTATAAGAACATCTACCAACACAGCACAAACCCTAAACACTAAACTCTAAACCCTAGGCCCCAAGCCCTAAACCCTAAACCCTCGCTGGGGCTGCTGCTCGTGTTTCGGGGGTCGATGCGTGGCCATTAAACCTAAACCCTAAACCCTCAACCCTCAATTATAAGCGTTAAATTAAAGTTCTATAACCACTAGAGATTTTCCTCTAAGACAAACCTCTAACCCTAAACCCTAAACCCTAAACCCTCGTGGGGGCGAGCGGTCCTTGTGGCTTGCCGTCGGCTGCCGCCTCTTTCCTTGCATTTATTTTTTTTTTTTAATTAAAAGAAGAAATAAATAAAATAAAAAATAAAAGACAAAAAATAAAAATAATTAAAATTAAAAATAATTTAATATGTTGATTGGGCGGTTCCCGCTGTGGATAGTCTTAGGCACTAGGGTTTACGATTTAGGGTTTAGGGTTTAGGGTTTGTAAGCATATTCTTCACAGCGTTAACACGCCTCTGTAAAGTATTCCAATAAACCCTTTTCCTTCCTTCTTATGTTGCCGTAAAAAGTATTGGCAATATGTATACATTGTATATATAATATATATACACTATATATAATATATATTATATAGTATATGTACATTATACATATTATATTTATTGCTGTAAGGACGGCTGTAGAGGGAGGAGAATTTAGGGTTTCGTAAACCCTTATTTGTTTAGACAATTTTGCCTCCACAGTAGCCCACAACAAACGTCAAAAAAGGCGAAGGATGACTGCAATATAGATTAGGGTTTAGGGTTTACTGTTTAGGGTTTAGGGTTTTGAAGTCCGTTCTACAGCGGGCAGCTAAGAGCCGGCACCGTTCTTAGACTGCCAATCAAAGTTTAGGGTTTAGGGTTTAGAGTACTTTCGTGCCCGTCTCCTCAATTTCCTCTTTTTATCCCTTTCCTGGATATAAGGGATAAGGAGTTAGGGCTTAGAGTTTAGGGTTTTGGATTCCGTCATTGGTAGGGTTTAGGGTTTAGGAGTACGAATTAGTCAACCTGACGGTAGATGTTCAAACGAGGGTTTGGGGTTTAGAGCAGACTTCTGAAGTGGCGAGTGTGTAGAAATAATGAGGGTTTAGGGTTTAGGGTTTAGCGTGAATGAAGTGTTTAGGGTTTGATGAGGATTTAGGAATGCAGGTTTTCCTACTGGGCTGTAAACCCTAAACCCCTTAAAGAATAGGGGCCTCCCTAAACCCTAATCCCTCAACACCAAACCCTAAACCCTAAACCTCAAATACAGCGATAGTGCGCACCTAGCTTGAGTTCAAGTATAGGTTTTAGGGTTTATTTAGGATTTAGGGTTTGTCCATGGTTTAGGGTTTAGGGTTTAGGGTTTAGGGTTTATTGAGGGTTTGGAGTTTAGTTTACTGTTGTCTTTGGGTTTAATTAGTCCAATAGGACAGCAACTCTTCTTAGAGGTGATTCCTGACTTGGGTGAGCACCGCGTAGATCGCTGCTGCCCTCGAAATGTGTAAACCCTAAAGGCTAGACCTCACTGCACTGGAGGAAACCCTTAGGAATTAGGGTTTAGGGTTTAGGGTTTAGGGTGTTTCAGTGCTCGAAGAGGGTAAAAGCCGTCAGTCGCACGCGAGGCAGGAAATCCTAAACCCTAGACCAGAAACCCTAAACTCTAGGCGTTTGAATTAAACATGAACCCCCCTGATGAGGTGTATGAAAATTAACGACCGAACACCAAACCCTAAACCCTAAACCCTAAACCCTAGCCAGCCAGCCGACAAGAACTATGATCGGACCCTGCAGGAGTTCTAAAACACTAAACCCCCTTCATTCAATGTGAGTTTTTTTATTGAAATATTATAATTAAATTATAATTAAAATAAAATAAAGTATTATTTTATTAATTTAAACAACAGAAAGCGCTTATTGAGGATCCGCCGACCACCGCTGCTCGACCGCGAGCACCGGGTATACATACGTACATGTTAATTCTTCTCTATTTTTGTATATATTTCTTTGCCATTGTAATTTGTTTATTATTTTTAATTATATTTACTTAATTTAATTCTTTTTCCTTTTTTATTACCCTAAAGCCCATTATAATTTTATAAACCCTAAACCGGGGCTGCGGCCGCCAGTGCAAGGCCGCGGCGACGAGGGTTTAGGGTTTGTGTTGCTGACGTTCCCTAGGGCTTATGGTTTAGGGTTTAGGGTTTAGGGTTTAACACTCACTAACAACAAAATGGAAACCCTAACTGCTGAGACAGAGGCCCTGGAGGAAGTGGGGCGGCGGGAGTCCGTCGATCCCCGGAGGGGCCTCGAGGTGACCTTCTTGAATGCTGCCTCTAAACAAGCAGCAGCAGCAGCAGCAGCAGGTTGCAGCGAGCAGCCGCAGCAGCCGCAGCACCAGCTGGTACTTCCTCAAGACCAGCCGTTGCTGCTGCTGCCCGAGCAATACAAGAGAATCTTAGGTTTACAGGCAAACGCAGCAGCATCACGAAGGAAGAGTATTGCTATTTTACCTGTATATACCCAGCAGCCGCAGCAGCTGCAGCCGCAACAGCAGCAGCCGGAGGTGGAGGAGGAGGAGGAGGAGCAGGAGGAACAGAAGGAATTTCACCGGGGTATCCCTCCTTATTACCAGCAACGGCTGCTGCACAATGCGCAGCAACAGCAGAAGCAGCAGGAGCAGAAGCATCAGCTCCTGCTGCAACAGAGGCAGCAGCAACCATTAAGGAAAAAAGCAAGGGTTCCTTTTATAGCACACCGCAGCAGCTGCGGCAGTCGACAGTTAACAGACAGTGGTTCCTTTTCTTCCCCCTCAAGTTCGTCGTAAACCCCAAACCCTAAACCCTAAACCCTAAACCCTAGAACACCCCAACCCCTAAACCCTTAACCCTAAACCCTTCTGTGAGAGTTGGGCTTCTCAGAAAGACCTGGCGGAGATCTGTGCATAACCCTGCAGCAGCGAGCAGCACCTCGCGGCGGCAGCTACCCAGCAGCAGTAGCAAGAGCAGAAGCAGCAGCAGCAGCAGCAAAAATAGAAGCAGCAGCAGGAGGAAGACAACTAACAAAAATCCTTGGAGAAGCAAAAAGAAGAGTTGATGCACTAAACACTCAACTTCTACATCTCGCCTATCAGCATGAGGCCAGCTAAACCCTAAACCCTAAACCCTAAACCCTAAACCCTAAATCGTGGTTTTGTATCTCTTGGGCATTGATGCGGTTCCAACACATTGATGCTGCTACTACCACTGTTACTTTTTTATGTGCTCTTCTGCTGCTGCTGCTGCTCTTGTTGCTGCTGCTGCTGTTGCTGCTGCTGCTGCTGCAGATGGTTTCAGAAGCTCGATCCTTATATGAGGAAGCATGCTTGCTGCAGCGGCAGCAGCTAGTAGCAGCAGAACAAGAAAAAGAAAAAGCTCTGTTGCTGCTAAGACAGCTACTAGATGAATCTGCGTACGAAACCCTAAACCCTAAACCCTCAACCCTAAACCCTTGACCTGCCCCCCTCGGTAACAGACTTGTGGCTGCACCTGCCACCTACAACCTTGTTAAGGTTTAGAGTTTAGGGTTTGCGGTTTAGGGTTTAGGGTTTAGGGTTTAGGCGTGTTCAGGGGAGTACACGACAAGGTGATTGCCTACGAAGTCATTTGCAGTACGAAACCAGGAACCACGGATCCTACTCAAGTCCGCAAACCCTAAACCCTAAACCCTAAACCCTAAACCCTAAACCCCAAACCCTAAACCCTAAACCCTGCTCAGCTCCTCATTTAAGTGTTTTGCATTCTTATTGATCAGAACCAACGCTTCCCCAGCAGCAACAGCATGGACTCCAACAGCGGCAGCACCAGCGACAACAACGATGACAGCAGCAGCAACAGCAGCAGCAGCAGCAGCAGCAGCAGCAAGGGAGTCCCTGATGTTGAGGTAGTTGCTGTAAAGGTTTTGGAGGTCTCGTTAACTCCAAACACTCAAAGACGAAGGCTGGCGAAGATCGCAGCCACCAAGATCCAGGCAAACCCTAAACCCTAAACCCTAAACCCTAAACCCTAACGGGAAATCGCTGAAGTTAGAGTCCGAGAGGAGTTCCTGATTTTGGTGTTTAGGGTTTGGCTTGAATACTTGGCTGGAGGTCACAAGGGGGTTTAGGGTTTAGGGCTTAGGGTTTAGGGTTTGCATGCAGGCAAGCTGGAGGGGCTATGCAACACGTTGTGCTCTAAGGAGAGAGCGCTGCTTCCTTGCTGCTGCTTCTGCTGCTGTTACTAATTTCGCTGCTGCAGCAACAGACCTGCAGAGGAAGATACGAGGAATGCTGCAGAGACGGTCTCTTCTAAACCCTAAACCCTAAACCCTAAACCCTTTAACGGTCCCACCTCAAGAATAAACCCTCAGCCAGCCAACCAACTGGTCTTCTTAAACCCTAAACTGTAAACCCTAAACCCTAAACCCTAGGTGGGTGTTGTGTGTTAGGGAGTTTCTTGAGTATGTGCGTACGAAGATGCTGCTGCCCCCGAAGCGACCAGCAGCAGCAGCAAAAGCAGCAGCAGCAGCAAAAGCAGCAGCAGCAGCAGCAGGCAACGGAAAGGCAACATCTGTAGAGACGCAGACCCCAACATTTGCTGCCAGCAGTAATCAGCAGCAGCAGCACCAGCAGCAGCAGCAACATCACCACCACCATCACCATCACCATCATAGACTACTACTGCAGCAGCAGCAGCAGCAGCAGCAGCTAGGTGCATCTGTATTCTGCTGCCATGGTTGCGGGCAAAAAAAAATATCTGCTGTATATACACCCCAAGATTTTTTGCCTATTCCTGGTGTTTCTTTTTTCTCCCTTTTTACCTCCGTCATTAAAATACAAAAGGCATTCAGAACTGCTATTATCAAAAATAAATGGAAGGTAAACCCTAAACCCTAAACCCTAAACCCTAAACCCTAAACCCTAAACCCTAAACCCTAAATTTGTAAATTATCAAAATTGTATCTTAGACACTAAATGGTGTACCGTATAGTCTAGACCCTAAACCCTAAACCCTAAATAATAAGTTATAGATCTTATATCCTAAACCCTAGATCCTAAACCCTAAACCCTAGATGTTGTGTGTGGTATATTCAGAGGCTGCTGCTTGAGCTGCAGCGCCGCAGCAGGCTGCAGGCATTGCTGCAGCGGACTGCTTTTCTGCTGCAGCAATGGCAGCAGCAACGGCTGCTTAATAGCAGAGATGAGCAGCAAATGCTTGCTGCTGCAGCGCAGCAACTCGCCCTCATCAAACGCATCAGGCAAACCCTAAACCCTAAACCCTAAACCCTAAAACATTAGAGCACATGCAAACATTTCCGACCAAAGAACCCTAAACCCTAAACCCTAAACCCTAATACAACCTTGGATTGCTGATAAAAGCATGGCGCCTCCTGTTCTACTTGTACGTCATCGTGCATATTAGGGTTTAGTGTTTAGTGTTTAGTGTTTAGGGTTTAGGGTTTGAGAGCAGGGCAAAGGCACCATCTACTCAAGCCTTAAGGGAAGCAGCAGCAGCAGAGAGGCAGCTGCAGCGGCGCTGCCGCCGTTTGCTGCTGCCTCTTCCTTTCTTATATAGGAGTCATTCATTTGCATGCGTTGCTGCAACAGAGAAGCAGCAGCTGCAGCTGCAGCAGCAGCAGCAGCTGCGTATTTATCAGCAAAGACAAATCGCTAAAGCTGAACTCTTCTCGGTGTGGTACGAATAACACTCGACCTGCTGCTGCTGCTGCTGCTGCTGCTGCTGCTGCTGTTGCTGTTGCTGTTGTTGTTGCTGCTGCTGTTATGGCTGCTGTTCTTCCTCTTGTTGTCGTTATTGCCGTTGCTGCTGTTGCTGGGGCCATTTCCTTGGAGGCAAGGGCGGCTTGCTGCACCACCATTTGTTGCTGCTGCTGCAGCTATTGCTGCTGCTGCTGTTGTTGCTGTTGCTGCTGCTGTTATTGGTTAGGATTAAGAAGACAATAAGCGAGAATGCTGCGGAAGGGGCAAAGCAGCAGCGCCAGACCCCTTATTCTCTGCCTGCAGCAGCAGCAGCAGCAGCAGCAACAGCAACGGAAGCATCTTCTTCTGCTGCAGATAGCGGCCATCATCCCCAACGATGGGGTGGTTCTTCTGTTGCTGCAGCAGCAACAGCAACAGATGCAGAAGGGTTCCGCTACAGCAGCAACAACAACAGGAGTGGTGGAGGTGTACTTCATCCAGCAGCAGCAGCAGCAGCGCCACCACCACCACCAACAACACCAGCAGAGCTGCCTAGTGTTGGTGCTGCTTTCTTGCGGTGTCTTGCTAAGGAACCACCAGAGTGTTTATGCTGCTCCCCTGATGCAGCAGGAGTAACAACCCAAGTAGCAGCAGCAGCAGGATCAGCAGCAGAAGCAGCAGCAGCAGCAGCTGGTGCTGGAGGTTATGGTGTTAGTAGGCCTCCTGCAGCAGCAGCAGCAGCAGCTAGTGGTGGTTATTCTAGTGGTTATCTAGATATAGCAGCAGCAGAAGCAGCAATAGCAGCAGCAGAAGAAGCAGCAGAGACATCTGTAATAGATCGTCGTGTTGCTGCGGCAGTACAGCAGCAAGCAGCAGCAATAGATGCATTTGCTGCTGCAGCACAGAGCGAGCAGCAGCTGCTGCAGCTAGAGAGGAGACTATACAAAAGAGGGACAGTTGCTCGTCTCCGTTCTACGGTAAGATTTGCTGGGCAGAATAAGGTACGAACTTATTTAGGGGATAATTCTGCTGCTGCTGCGGCTGCATCGGGTGCTGCAGCAGCAGCAGCAGCAGCAGCAGCAGCGGCAGCTGCGGCAGCTGCAGCTGCAGCCGCAGGACCGAATAATACATCACCACGGGTGACGTCGGGATGTGCAGCTGCTGCTGCTGTTGCTGCTGCTGCTGCTGCTAATGCTGCTGCTAATAGAACTACATCCAATGTCCCACCATCTGCTCCTGCAGCAACAGCAGCAGGAGGTGCAGCAGGAGGAGGAGGAGGAGGAGGAGCAGCAGCAGCAGCAGTTAGCCCGTTAGATAGATTAAACATTTGTAGCCCTTGTGGCTCTCCTGGCCCGTTAACACCTACAACAGCAGCAGCAGCAGCAGCAGTAGCAGCAGCAGCAGCAGAAGAATTAGATACACCAAGAAGATGTCTTAGTGCTTTATCACAAAGAAAACAATTAAGAAATCATTGGGAAGGAACAGGCTCTGATGATCTTAATGATGCCGTCAGACAATTCCTTGCTACGTAAACCCTAAACCCTAAACCCTAAACCCTAAACCCTAAACCCTAAAATTTGAGGTCGTAGTTTTAAGCTTTCTTCATCAGCAGCTGCTACGAACAATGTTCATCAAACCCTAAGTGTAAACATCGAGTGCAAACCTCGAACACTTGTAAACAGGGTTTAGGGTTTAGGGTTTAGGGTTTAGGGTTTAGGGTTTAGGGTTTAGGGTTTATGCAGGACCCCTAATATAAGGAGGCTAGTGCCTGAGCACAAAAGAGGAGATAAATGGAAGCCGGCTAAGACTCATCATCGGTGCTTCCCTAAACCCTAAACCCTAAACCCTAATTTCTTCCATAAGTTGTAAACCCTAACACTCAGAACTGATTGCGATACAATTCGGATACTGCGTAGATTAGGGTTTAGGGTTTAGGGTTTAGGGTTTGGGTGCAGCGAAGAGCCTAGATGGACCCCTGTTCGTTTCTCTCCTTGGTCTTATCTATCTCGTGGCCTAAAACATCCAATCTTTCAGCAGCACAATCAGCAGCAGCTGCTGCACCCATCAGCAGCAACAGCAGCAGCAGCAGCAGCAGGAGCAGGAGCAGCAACAAGAACACCAATAGACGATATCACCCTCCAACAACAACTCAGTCCGCCGCCTTCTTCCTAAACCCTAAACCCTAAACCCTAAACCCTAAATCATTAGCCCCGGATTTGACAGGGTCGTTCGCGCCTGCAAATATGGGCTTCTAAACCCTATACCCTAAACCCTAAACCCTAAACCCTTTTGCATGCGCTGCAGCTTGCGAATTGAGTCACAGTAGCCCCGCTACATGCAGATGGATTGGCTTCCGCAGACGGACGGCTCATTTCAACGCCGTGTCGTACGTCCAGGGTTTAGGGTTTAGGGTTTAGGGTTTGGAGCCAAGTACCTCATGGGGGGAATTGATGGTTTAGGGTTTAGGGTTTAGGGGTTGCGGTCTGTGTGGAGTGCAGGGCGAATGCGTCAGCCAGGGGCAGAAGTCATCCGGAGAAATGTGGTAAGGCAGCATCTGATTAGGGTTTAGGGTTTAGGTTTAGGGTTTAGGGTTTGGTTCATAAGGTTTAGGGTGTGGGGCTTAGGGTTTAGGGTTTAGGGTTTAGGGTTTGTGGTGCAGCTCCCTCACGCTTGCTACCCAGTCCGCACCAGGAGCGAACGTGTGAAACCAGAGGAGCAGCAGCACAAGCAGCACTAGCAGCAGCTGCTGCAGCAGCAGCAGCAGCAGCAACACCAACAGGTACAACAAGGAAAAAGCATCGAGCAAAAGCTGCTGCTGCAGCATCTGCAGAGGGACCACCAGAAGCAGCGACAGCAGCAAGAGCAGCAGCAGGAACAGCAGCAGGAACAGCAGCAGGACCAGCAGCAGGAACAGCAGCAGGAACAGCAGCAGGAACAGCAGCAGGACCAGCAGCAGGAACAGCAGCGGCAGCACCGGTTGCTGCTCCAACCCACGTTCCTGCTACGCAGCCAGGCGATTTAAACAAGCAGCAGCAGCAGCAGCAGCGACAACAACAACAACAGCAACAGCGGCAGCAACAACAGCAACAACAGCGGCAGCAACAGCAGCAGCAACAGCGGCAGCAACAGCGGCAGCAACAACAGCAGCAACAGCAGCAGCAACAGCAGCAGCAACAGTACGACCTCCAGTACCAAAATCAAGCGCAGCCGGAGCTGTATCCGCAGCTGTGGCGCACCCCGCCGCCGCCGCAGCAGCAGCAGCACCAGCAGCAACAGCAGCAGCAGCAGCAGCAGCAAAGCAATGGAAGGCGCAACAGCGACAGCAGCAGCTCTGCCCAGCGCAGCGGTAGGAGGAGGAGAGATAATAAAACCGGCGATGTCCA